GTATGCAGTCCCGGATGGAGCAGTGCGGGCGGGTTGCATAGTACAAAAGTGCGCGGCGTGAATCAGCCACCTGGTACAAAATAAAATCGTTCTCACCAGGCATGTTTTCTGTGTGCACCCCTCAGGTTCAAGAGTGCCTTCGATCGACGCGTCGCTGGGCTCCGTCAAGACCGAGTCGGCCCTGGACGCGGACGGGCTGAACGGCGGCGACGACGGCAGCCACACGGCCGCGTCCTCGACCGGCCAGGGCGGCGGCGGCGGCTCCAAGAAGGGCGGCGGCGGCGGCTCGGGCGGCGGCGGCTCCAACTCGGGGTCGGGCGTGGGCAGCAAGCGGCAGCGGCGGCAGCGGACGCACTTCACCTCGCAGCAGCTGCAGGAGCTGGAGGCGACCTTCTCCAGGAACCGCTACCCCGACATGAGCACCAGGGAGGAGATCGCCATGTGGACCAGTCTCACCGAGGCGCGAGTGCGGGTGAGTCGGAATAGCTATTTAGACATTTATGTATAGCAAAGTAAGGGCTTCTAAAAAGTGACCGAGGAAAGAAAGACAATATCTTTGCAGAAAGACATGTGATTGTGAAGTATCTCTGAGTTTGACTTCCTACCACGGTGCGCACACTTCTCTAGTAAACATGTGTGTGGATCTGATTCGCCGCACACCCACACACCCTTTTCATGATTGCTCGTGGCACGCTCATTTACTTGTAGAGCACGTCCTGCCCGCCCCGCCCCGCCCCACCTCCTCCCCTCCTGGATGGACCGGCCGTGCGCCGCCGCCCGCCCCTCCTCCCCACAGTTATTCCGCCCTCTGCGTACACTGCGTATCGATGCGTTTCGCGTGCTCCGACGCCTCTATCTTGGCTTCCTAATTTCTCGCGTCGCGTGGGGGCCGCCTGCTGCTGCTGCTGCTGCTGCTGCTGCGTGCGAGAGAGCAGGGCGGGGTGGGACGGGGGAGCACTGACTGCTCCTGCCGCCTCCGCAGCACACACACCCGCGACCCGCGCCGCGCGGCACGGGCGCAGAATTGGTCGCGGTCTCATCCCATCATTTCACGCCGATTTCCCGAGTCGTTAACTCGATAATGAGGTCGTCGCCAAACAAATCCCATCTCCTTCTGGCGTCGCACTGCGTTATAACCAAGCGGCGCCTACTATACTGCATACCCCCCTCGGCGACTCCGCCCCATACCCACGTATACACTGCTCTGCCGATGTTCAGGGTGTCCCATAAGCCCCGTGTACTGCCGTGGCTGCTCACCTCGGTGGTGACGTTGCGAGTAGGCAACCCTGCTCGCCCACCCCAATTTCCATGGGTGGACCAACAAGGGGATACTAAGTATAAATTCCCGAACCTGTTCAAACTTTGGGGTTTTCAATGTTGATTGTATACTAAAAGATTGCTGATAAAAGTTCGTGCCCAATTTGATATTTTGGGGTACATTAGGGGAGTCCAATTTCTCGAAAATAACTAAAAATCATCTTTTTAAAAGAAAAACCCTTAAGTTATCCTCAGTTCTTAATAAGTCCAAATCGATGTTCGCAGGACGAAGACAAACTAGGAATCATACTGGGATTTAAAAAGAATAATAGATTTTCAGTCATCTTATCAGATACGGGACTTTCCCCCCATAACCAAAATATCAAAGTTTGAACGGATTCGGGAATTTATACTTGTATGAGTCCCCTTGTAAGAGATACCATTGTGTCCCATGAAACGAATCGGAACACATAACCTTTACTGAGACCTTAACTCTCGTTTGTATTTGAATACTTGAAGAGAAAAATCAACGCGTCACGTAAAAATTATAAAGCGGGTATGAGAGGGATAAGGCAAGTCGGAGAAAGGTTCCCCGGCGAGCATCCGCGCGCGGCGGTCGCTCCGGCAATGGGCGGGCTTCGGTCGGATCAGAGGCAGGAAATGTTGTAAAATTTCAGGCTGCCGCGAGGCGCGAGGGGGTCGTAGGCTTTCGGGTTAACTTGTGGGTTAACTTGGACGGGGACATGGCGGGGCGTGGCGGAGCGTGGCGGGGCGTGGTGGGGCGTGGCGGGTGGCGGGGCGTGGCGGGGCGTGGCGGGGCGCGGCGGGGCGTGGCGGGTGGCGGGGCGTGGCGGGGCGTGGCGGGGCGCGGTGGGCACCGCGTGTCTCGCTGCGTTTTATGGTAAGGCTGAAGGGAGGAGGCGGCGGCGGGCGGCTAGAGAGAAAGTTCTCCCCGGCAGCCACATCGGCGGTGGTGGCCTCGCGAGGGTTGGTTGGGTCGGACCAAGTCCTTTCCTCTCCGGGGTGTGGATGAGCCCGCCCTCTCTGCTTGTCAAACTTGGCGCTCATAAACAGCCCGCTGGCCCGGCGCCCCCCCGCTCGAGTCACATCCATTCCCTTTCCCTGAACCTTCTCTCCTCTCCTCCCCTCCTCTCCTGCTTCCCCTTTTCCGCCGCACTGATTTGGCAAACTCCCAGGTACAAGTGGTCGCTCGGGCGCGCGCCGGGGGTGTAGGAGAGCCAGACCGTCCTGCAAGAGAAGAGAGGGGGTGGGGGGTGAATAAAATAAAACAAGGATGTGTGGCTCGCGCGCGCTTTGCACAGTCGAAGTCGCTCTCTGACAGGCGCGTGGCTCTCCTTGCGAATACCGACCTGCCTGCCTGCCTGCCTGCCGGCCGCGAGGCGCGTCCAACTTGAAAAGAAATATATAGCGAACAAGTAATCGGGCGTAAGCCCCTCTGGATGCCGTCCGCATTAACTTGTCCAAACACCGACTCGCGTACAAATGGCAAGAGGCCTATCGCCGCCGTGCACGAACTACATTATGACACGCGCGGCCAAACGTCTGCGGGGAAGAGGGAAAGCTTCTTCTTTCTCGCGGGACACGCAATCTCGCACAATTAACCCGTTCATAAGAGTGCGGCTGCTGCGGGGTTGCTGAACGCCTCACGTCACCGGCAGTGTAGTTGGTAGCGAGGGGCAATAACTCCGGGAATCATGTGTACACCTGTCTGGGAATCATCAGGATAAAAATTGATCAAAATCAATAGAAATCGCTTAGAATAAGCGGGAAACTAGAGAAATAAGTAAAATCAGTCGAAATAAGCGTTTTATACCACTAAAACCCCCCGAAAAACCTATTTAATAATCATAAGCGGACGGGAATCACCGGGAATCAAGAATTTCGGGAATCATGTGTACACTTCAAAAGGGAGTTATTGCCCCCTCGGTTGGTAGTGTTGTGAGAGCCAACGACCCATTTACGAAAAACGGATGCAGAATCACACTCTAAACGCCGTGGTTGCCTATAACTTTCCAAAATTTTGGTAGTAGTATGCCTTTTTGACAGTATCTTGTGGCTAAATCTACCCCCATCGTAAAATTTGATGTTTTTTAGAATTTTTCACCTGATATTTTAATTCTGGGCTCGAAGTTTTCGGGTGCAGAGGTGCAGAGGTCGCGATCTGGCCTGTCCCGAGGACTCCATCCGGTTTCGAGTTATTTGCAGTCGTTTACCGCGAGCCGTTTGGCACAAGCTATATGGGCTACGCCACACCCGGCCGGGGTCTCGGTGCGAGTTAGTTGTGGGGCATTGTGTTTCGCAGTGCGCCACAACCAGCCCCTCAAAACTTATTCCTCGGGTCGCTTAAAATTCCACCGAGCTGACAAAAAGTCCATTTGCTCAGTAATTTCGGCCTCGTCGGTCCCTGGGCGCGGGCCGGCATGGCGCCCCAGCCCCGCGGCCCCGCGCCGGTGGCGGCGCCGTCCAGGCCCTCGTTGCCATGCCGACGCGACGCACAACGTGGCGCCAGCGCAGGCAGCATGGCGGCCATGGCGGCGCCAGGCGCCTCTAGCAGCGCCGCCCCGCACCGCCACGCCCCACCCCGGCCGGGAGGGAAAATGGAGAGGAGCGGGCGCCCTACGCTATACCCTGTGAAGCATACCGATGGCATCGGGTGGGGTGGCGATGTCGGCACCGTCGATCGACATGTAACGTCTGCTCGAACCAATGTCGTTTACACATTTTATCTTAAAATTTTTGATTTTGTGCATAGTGACAAATTCCTGGGACAGACAATGGTGTTTTGTAAAAATAGTATAGAGCAAGACACTCAAATAACAACCATTGGGTTTACAGGCATGTCACATCACACAGTTTTCCTGGCACGCACAGTTACCCCCCCCCCCCCCCCATAAAACATAGGGAGCCTTGTCAATTGCATTTCCTTCCACAACACTGATAAACTAAGTGTTCAATTGCAAGTGTGCAACTGCAAGTTAAATACTTGCAAGTGTGCAAGTCCGTAGTTACACTTGCAAGTGTTCAACCCGTTAGGTGTGCACTTGCAAGTGTGCAACTCCTCGGTTGAACACTTCCTTAAATTGAACGCTCACTGTGTAGGAAGTGCTTAACCGAGGAGTTTCACACTTGCAAGTGCACACCTACCGAGTTGATCACTTGCAAGTGTACAACTACGGAATTGCATACATGCAAGTATTCAACTTTTAGTTGGGATATGGCAAAGGGAGAGGACGGTCTACCACCAAACGCAAACTCATTTAGGAGTGTACAACACCAGTGATCGTCCAGCCGGGACAAGCCCACCGGGTGGACAGGGAGGGTGGGGGCTCAGATTGATACCACACACAAACAACGCACAGCGCACGCACACAGTCATCACTTCTCAATCAATTTCAGCACGACAGCCACACACGCCGGCTGACCACCACCACCACCAGCACCACCACCACGTACTACCTCTACCCCACCACGGCGACCGTCAGCGCCACGCATGTGTGAGTGCGAGGCCCGTAGCTGACCTTGTTTGTGCCCATCGCCGAGGATGGTTGTAGTGTTAGTGTTTTGCTATAACAGTACATTGCTATGGACACAAACACAGAGGAGCAAGTGCGTTCCTCGGCCATAAGCACACGGTAACAATGACATCTCGGATTTCAACACAGTTTTCAAGGAATCTACTTGAACTCCAAGACGTTCTTTTTACCGTGCATGACACGGGACGTCATGGGAACGCCGTACACCGGTGGAGGAACACCACAGGGCGGGCGGGGTGCTGTGGGAGACCAGATGGAGAAGGAGTGTCGGACAGGATCTCCAAGGGTGGGGTGGGGGCACCGCACCGCGCCGCCACAGCCAGGGGCACAACGGGGCCCACCGCACCAGATTTATTGCTTTCTCCGAGACATCTGGGAGGGGCAAAG